ATGGCACGGCCGGTTAAGAGGCAAGCACAAGGAGTACAAGGAGCACAAGATGAGATTGATGAGAAACACCTTTTGGCTTTCATTGCGAAGGACAAATATGGAGAAGATGCTGAATGCAAAAAAAGGCTCAAGGAATATTGCGATGATTTGAAGAAAGTAGATGCTGAATTCAAAGTGAATGATAAAGTTAAAGAACTTTGTGGTGGTGGTGATGATACAAAACGAGACGAAAAATGCAAAACCCTGAAAGGCGAAGTTAAAAAAGAATTAGAAGATTTTGAAAATAAACTTGATGCATCGGTAGATGACATACAAGATGAATATTGTGAAAAATATGAAGAAAAATGTATACTTTTAGAGGAAGCAGACCCAGCTAATCTTAAGGATAACTGTATCGAGTTGAGGGAAGGATGTTACAAATTGAAGCGTGAAAAGGTGGCAGAGGAGCTTCTTTTGAGGGCGCTCGGAGGGGATGCTAAAGAAGCTAAATGTCAAGAAGAAATGAAAAAGGTTTGCCCAATGTTAAGCCGAGAAAGCGACGAATTGATGACTTTTTGCCTTGATCCGAGTGGAACGTGTGGAGAGCTGAAAAAAAAATTGAAGGATCTTTGCGAGCCTTTAAAAGAAGAGCTTAAAGATGGCGAATTAGAGAAAAAGTGTCATGAAAGACTTGAGAAATGTCATTTTTACGGAGAAGCGTGTGATGGTGCGAAATGCAAGGACTTTGAGGAGAAATGCAAGGGAAAAGGAATCACATATAAAGCGCCGGAATCTGATTTTAGTCCTGTCAAGCCGAAGGCGTCGTTGTTAAGAAGTATTGGGTTGGATGATGTGTATAAAAACGCGGAAAAACATGGGATTATTATTGGAAAATCAGGAGTGGATGTACCAAGGAAGTCAGGTACAAAATTTCTGCAAGATCTCTTGCTACTGTTGAGCAGAGATGAGGATAAGACGGATGCAAAAAGTAAATGCGATAAAGCGTTAAAAAAATGTGAAACTTCTAAGTATTTGGATACTGATTTGAAAAAGTTATGCGGTGATAATGATAAACAAAATAAATGCGAAAAAATGCTAGATGTAAAAGAAAGATGTACAAAACTCAAATTAAATCTTTATCTGAAAGGATTGTCTACAGGATATGAAGATAAAAAATCAGATCTTTTATCGTGGGTAAAGCTTCCAACCTTTTTTATAAAAGGAGAGTGTGCAGAACTTGAGTCGGAATGTTTCTATTTAGAAAAGGCGTGTAATAATAAGATTGATGAAGCATGTCAAAATGCAAGAGCAGCGTGCTATAAAAAGGGACAAGACAGGATGTTGAATAAGTTCTTTCAAAAGGAATTGAGGGGAAATCTTGGTCTTGTAAGATATCGTAGCGATCCTGGTGATTGTAAAAAATATGTAGTGGGAAACTGTACAAAACTTGATAAAAAATATCTTCCACGATGTCTTTATCCTAAAGAATTATGTTATGCGCTTTCAAATGATATTTTTCTTCAATCTAAAGAGTTAAGTTCGCTTTTAGATGATCAAAGGGATTTTCCATTAGAAAAGGATTGTCTTGAGTTGAAGGAGAAGTGTGATGAACTTAGTAGTGATTCATTATTGAATTTAGAAAAGTGTATAACATTGAAAAGACGCTGTGAATATTTTGACGTTACAGAAAGATTTAGAAAAGTATTTTTAGAAAAAAAGGATGATTCGTTAATGATTCAGGAAAACTGTACAAAGGCATTGCATGAGAAATGTGAAGCGTTATCTAGGAGGAGAAAGAATTCATTTAGTGTTTCATGTGCTTTACCAGAAGAAACATGTAGTTATATGGTATTCCACACAAGTCAAGATTGTAAATATTTAAAAGAAAACATCAAGAATGGAGGAATTGTAGGAAAAATTGAAAAAGCAAATGGAAATGAAACAGCACTTGAAGAACTCTGCACAACATGGGGCCGACATTGTCATCAACTTGTGGAGAACTGTCCAGATCAGTTGAAAAAAGAGAATGGCAATGGCAATAATCATAACTGCGATGTGCTCCAAGAAAAATGCAATAAAACCTTTGAAAAGTTGAAAGCGAAGGATGAGCTGACTCACCTGTTGAAAGGAAGTTTAAAAGGTGAAGATGAATGTAAAAAAACATTAGGAAAGGATTGCACTAAGTTGCAAAATAATGATACATTCAAAATTCTTCTTGGTGAATGTAAACCTGATACTACGGAAAATGTTTGCAAAGAATTAGTTGGTAAAGCAAAAGAGAGATGTCTTACTTTAAAAGACGAACTGAAGAAAGCGAAAGATGAGTTGACAGAGATGAAGACTGAGTATGATAAGCTCAAAAAGGCGGCAGAAGAATCTACAAATAAAGCTAAGTTATTGCTATCAAAGTCTGGAAAAGCCGCAATGCCAAGTGGACAGGATAGCAATGGCTCTGTACCAGCACCACCAGCAGAGCCAGCACCAGGGACACTACCACCACCACCACCATCAACTGGTGGAACATCAGGCACACCAGGCACACCAGGAGCACCAGGTGGAACACCAGGCACACCAGGTAGTGGAACGCCAAACTATGCAAAACTTGGATTCGTTAAAAGAGCATATGTAGATGAAGGAGTATCAGAAGTAGAGGTCAAAGCATTTGATGCAACGACAATAGCATTGGAGTTGTATTTGGAATTGAAAGAGGAATGCAGCGCTTTACAACTAGATTGCGGTTTTAAAGAGGATTGTCCGGAATCTAAATCAGCTTGTGAAGAAATAGAAAAGTTATGTAAACTGGAAGCATTAAAAGTTGCGCCTCATCATACAGAGACAATAACAAATAAGGTGACGGAAACACAGACGGAAACAAAGACCGTTGAGAAGGTCGATGACAAGACCAATGTGAAGACCGTTGAGAAGACTATTACGGTAACCAAACCAGGAAGTGGAGGAAAAGTAACAGAAGAGTGTACAATGATACAGACGACAGATACATGGGTAACACGTACGTCATTGCATACGAGTACGATAACGAGCACGTCAACGGTGACGTCGACAGTGACGTTGACGTCGATGAGAAAGTGCAAGCCTACCAAATGTACTACTGATTCAAGCAAAGAGACAGATAAAGGAGAAGGAAAAGATGAAGAAGAAGTAAAACCAAATGATGGGATGAAAATAAGAGTTCCTGATATGATTAAAATAATGTTGTTGGGAGTGATTGTTATGGGGATGATGTAAATGAATGAAAAAAATGTTAATAGATTGAAAATGTGCATATATCCATTGTTTATATATAATAGAAATCTAAATGAATGAAATGAAGTTTTAATCATTTTAGTCCGCCATTTTAATT